GCCTTATACATAAGCTGCAAAATATTATAATCAACCAACTCATAAAATTTAAATAATTTTAATTTACAAAAAGATATATTCGAAGGTTGATGTAATGTTTTCTGGTGATAATTCTTACAGCTCTTTTCTGTAAAATAAAAATAGGATTTATGATAGTTTTACATGCTTTACCCCAGACTTCAACACAGTAAATCAAGTGAGGAACAATTATTGTATTATACAATATAAACAGAGCTTTATCATTAAATAACTCCCTTACTTTATACAATACTCCAACAGATTTAGCTATTTTTGTTAATTCACATGAGCTCTCCATGTCAGCCCTTAAATCAATGAAAATGCCTAAAAACTTTATCTCACTGACTCTACTAATCTCAACACCATCAATTTTAAATGAAAAATCAGTAGTTTTCTTTTTATTACTGAATATCATTTAATTAGTTTTATCCAAGTTTAGCGACAATTTAAGTTTGAACCATGTTTGTATTTTTACAGATTCTGTTTGTGTCCTTTCCGACATTCGTTCAATATCCCTACCCAAACAAAAAAAATGTAGTTTCATCAGCAAACAGAACACATTTAAACAACCCCGATACATTTATTAAATCATTTACATACAAAATACTTTGGTCCAAGTATAGAACCCTGAGGAACTCCACATGTGATTTTACTGAGTTCAGGTCTTATAACATTTATTTGAACAAACTGTTTCCTATTTTTCAAATAACTAGTTACCCACTGCAGTGCAGTGGGTAACTAGTGCTTTTAGTGATTCTTGTGACATTTTGCTAACAGACAGACAAACATATGAATACAAAAAATGTAGTGTCATCAGCAAACAGAASACATTTAAACAACCCTGATACATTTACTAAATCATTTACATACAAAATAAACAGCTTTGGTCCAAGTATAGAACCCTGAGGAACTCCACATGTGATATTACTGAGTTCAGATCTTTTATCATTTATTTGAAAAAAACTGTTTCCTACTTTTCAAATAACTAGTGCTTTTAGTGATTCTTGTGACATTTTGCTAACAGATGAATACACAGACCAACATTTTCTCATCCACCTTTTCCCCTCTGTGGCAGGTGATAAGAAGACCCATTTAAACCTGACAAACTCATTTCCGTCTCTCGTTTCCCCTCCCTCTCAGAAAGGTGCAGGGTATCACCTGGACCTGTTCTGGGTGGCCATCCTGTTGGTAGTTTGCTCCTTCATGGGGCTGCCGTGGTACGTGGCTGCCACCGTCATCTCCATCGCTCACATCGATTCTCTGAAAATGGAAACGGAGACGTCGGCGCCCGGAGAGCAGCCCAAGTTCCTGGGTGTCAGGTGAGACCAGGAGCTTTTTGTTTTCACTGATGTTGGTGATGCTGACCTGACAAAGTGCTGCTCTGATGGAAAAATGATCAACCAGGGTTCATTAAGCTGATGACAGCTTCTTACTTTATCTTTTATAAACTTTAGGTTTTTACTTCAGAGTTTCCACCTAATAAATGAGATGTCTGAAAGAAAAACTTGAATTGATTTGAATTGGCTCTAATAATGTTTCTTTTCCAGGGAACAAAGAGTTACTGGGATCCTTGTGTTCCTTCTGACGGGACTCTCTGTCTTCATGGCTCCGATCCTCAAGGTAGTGCTCAATCTTCCTAATCCTACCATGACAAATGTGGATTACTGTCTGCCCTATTTGAGACAAACACCCGTCATTCCTCGTAATTTTTTAAAATCATTTCAAGTCTTCATCCCATTAGCAGCTCTGCTAGCTGAAGTAATTCGATGTGAAACAGGCATACTCATCAGGGCCGTAAGCTCCAATTGCAGCAAAGTGCTGTCTCCAGTTTCCATTCCCCCATTAGGCTGCAAAATAAATAAATAAATAAAAGTAAAATAAAAAAAGCCAGCTGAGTGGAGCGGCCACTCCTCCCTGTGGACATTTTCAACACATTTTATTTCCCACACTGGTCCTTTCTGCTGTTGCTTAAAGATGTGCAAAAATATTTGTTGACATTACTTTTAATACTTTATTACTTCAAGGATCAGACGTATGGAAGCACATTTATGCCACTCTGAATTTTAAAAAAATCTAAGTCATTATTTTGTGGAGCCCATCTAGTGACATTGGTAAAAAAAATGATAATTCATATAATGATTATTGCAGTATTTCCATACAATGAATGTTGATTGTTAACATGGACAAGTTTGAATCAATTTCATTTTATTTTAATATATGAATGAACACAGTGACATACTCCAGTCACTTGTGCTAAGGCATAAAAAATTTCTTAGCAAGAGACGCTCAAATTAAAATAATTAGCTTGTGACCACGAGATAGTAACGCCTGGGCATGCATTATTTTATTTTTATCAAATGTCACCAGATGGGCTCTGTAATTATGAGATTCTGGTGAATAGTTAAAACTTAGCAAATCAAAACTGCTTATTAGTACCTCAAAATATGATTTAGAGTCTAAATTATGACTTACCGTATTTATTCAAGTATAATACTGAAAATTAAATCCATAAAATCATCCATCCATAAAGTTGGGAGTTAGTACTATACTCGGAAAAATATTTTTACTTATGTATTTTGACTGAAATATCAGCTTCATTCACAAAATGCTTGAAAATGAGACCGCATTGTAAAAAGCAGTTGAAACTAGCTTACTGAAAGGGTTTTTTCTTTAGTATATTTCATTAAAGTTCATTGTGTGTGTATCAAATAAAGTTTTTAGTACGTTACAAATGTTTAGTTCAAAATGTGTTTTCTACAGGAACATTATGAGCCAGCGGATCAAAGCTGGTCTTCCTGCCTCCAAGGCCATATTGTAAGATAAGGTTGGTCTAGCTGCCAAAGAAACTGCTC